TATTATTCTAAATGAAGAAAACCTTTCAAAAATGCACTTCATCAGGGGAAATAATCATACGCAACAAACACAACGGGCTCCTACAGGTGCCACCAACACTCACCATTATTGTTGATACCAGTGTCTTGCCGGATGGATATGCTGCGTCCTGCACAGAACACCAAAGGAGCGCTCCATGACTTGGATTGCATGTGTGCTAGCTGCATCGCTCTGCTGCTGAAATAGGCTAGCCACAGACAGAGAAATGAGAAGCCATGGCTTTGAAACACACTGAACGACACCTTGAGAGATCAACAATGCATACTTAGGTCAGGTACAATTTGTAGAAAAATATATATCACTATGCAATCGTGGTGAACATGTTCGGCTGAAACACAAGCAACAGCACTGAGAGAGAAAAAGCTACATTAGGTAAAAGATGCAGTTACTGGCCCTATGTCATCTGAGGCTTCTTCAATAGGTCTTTCTCCTTGCAAGTTGTGCACAGCCAGGCAATTTTCACCCACTTGCTATTTCCTTACAGAGAACTTGATCCACAGAGGGAGTCACAAGCTCGAGAGCTCAATAAGGAATCAAAGTATTTGTGCTCGTTTCAAAGCACAAGCTTTTGAGTCTCAGATTATTGGAGTTTCATTCATAAGCTGCAAGCTTTCAGCTTTCAACATTCTCAATTATCTTGCAATTTAGTTCTATAAATGTTGAATAAGAATTATGTGTAAGAGTATTACAGGTATCCACTGAAAGCAGCCATGCTTGGGTTTTCAATTTGTGCACAGTAAGTGTTGTTCACGTAATCGTATGTATTAAAGAAAAACTAACCTTGCAGCCAGCCGTTAGGCAGTTTTGTGCCCTCGAAGCTCCCAAGCAGATCGCAGTCCTTCCAGATGAGGCTGCTATGCATGCTTCCACGCCACATCCGCTGAATGATAACAGTCCCAGCAGTAACATAGGCTTGCACAGTTAGGGAGAACGTGTCCTTCCTATTTTTGTACAGGTGCTCCAAGTAATGATGAGGATTGATGTGCCAGAATGTGCAACCGATGCATCACAGGACCTTAACAAACCAATCTCTGCGATCTGTGAAGAGCCAAAAACGAGATATTTAAAAACAATCATTAAAAGCACTCACTTCTAATACTTATTTGAGGAAGCTATCACTTCGTTAAAGTGACCAAAATCTGCTATAATCACTTTGAAATAAACTGAAGCCTCTTGTAAAATTTACGTACCGCAATATATATGTCCTACTGAAGTATAGTACTACCACAGTGGTAATCGTCTGTAGAACAAATTTTCCAAAATAACATAAATTTTTTAAGTGCAACCTGGCTCCTGAAAAATAAATTCACATTAACTTTCCAACTATCAAACGTGGTCAATCGACAGGCCCAACCTCATAATTAAACAAGAGCTCACTTGTATCAAATCACAAAAAAACTTTTTATGTATTTGCTCCATAATATATGTATGTATATAACAGTAGTAGTAAATTTTTTATGCTTCTACCTTAGAGAAACATTACATCTGATGGGCTTAAAAACTTCCACACGTTATAGAACTGCGTGAATTATAGTACCGGTGAAATTTAGTTCTGCAAGGTGAACTCACCGATGGCAGCATTTAGTAGCCGTCGGTGTCATGAGGAACCAAGTACGGCCAACAGGCAAAGGGCATCTGCAGTCTGGAAGCTGCCAATGACAGCAATGAAGGACTGGCCAGGCGTGCACGTCCATTGATAAAGTGTAAGAACTGGCCATGACCGGCTGTTGTCAAGGCTCTAGTGCCGTGCAAAACGATGGCCAGACGAACTTGAAAACCTGTAGTTAGGCGATATTGGCCTACAACTTCATCCAAAGCAAGGCACCGGTGAAATCTTTGCTTTTTCTGGGGGCCGGAGGGAAGCTTGACGTTCACGGGCTCTCGCTGCCACATAGAACTCTCAAGTTGTTACCAAAGAACAGTCTAGGCGCGCTTCCAAAGTAACACGATCCACAACAGAATGTAGCATCTCGCAGCTTCGGTTGATCACATCACAGCGCTAGGACTATGGTTATCACAAAAAGGAGAAGTGACGACTTAACAAACAAAAGCGCCAAGCTGCCCCACCACAACTTCGCAGGGCAAAACAGTTATCAACGCTGTCTTTCAATTTTCGGTCACACGATCACAGCTTGTTCACAAGTTTCGAAACGTCAACGCAGCACCACTGTTCACAACGAACATCGTTTCACTCCCGAACAGTACATTGCTTTCAAGTAAATAGAAGCGTACGGGCTAACTAGTGGCAAAGCAAGAACCGAGCGCGTAGTTCATACGTTTCCGTACGTACTTAGGGTCACTCAAGTAACGTGTCAAAACGCTGTCAATTCGAAATGTCCCACAGCACCCAACTGAGAGACTAGAAAGTCAAGCGAAAGAACTGTTACCGGCACACAAACACACATTGCAGGCTTCTCGATTGCTAGTTGCCGTCAATACATCGACGCCGATCCCCGCTTGATAACCACACCGACGCACAGGCTTCGCTTCGCTTCACCGTACATCATTGCACTGCCACAGCTTTCCGCACTGCTTACACGCACCGAAAGAGCTGCTGTAATCACTACACATCCGGTCAAACACTGAAGTAACTCGTGCGAGAAGCGTTTGCTGAAAGTCGCACCGACCGATATGCTGTTTACGACGCCATGTTGTTTTCGACAACTGCGCAGCACATAAGAGAGCACTTAGAAAGTACTTGCACTATTTTCACGGCGTGACAAAATTTTCTCTTATGTGCGAGGGGGGTGATATGACGAACACGACAGGCGTGCCAGATGAAAGAAGTGTTTTGGCAACTCACGGAGTGAGCTGATGTAGAAGGTATTACTTCACAACCAATCACAAGCTGTGCCTGTCGGCCAAGCCGTCGTCTGCTCGCGTTTGTCGTCTGCTTCGATCAGAGCATGCGACAGGGGATTCGCCTTCGCAACGCTATTATTGTCAGGTCAAGTGGTCGCTGCGTCGCACAAAATACATGTCAATGGCTCGCTCTACCTTTGAATGATGTTCGTGCGCCAAGTTAAATGGCTGGTAATTGACGCAGGGATGAATTCAGCCAAGGTTTGTTCCAGAATCGTGAGCGTTTGCATATTTTCGGTGTCATACAAAGTTACTGGGGTCATTTCATTCCGATTGCTTGCCATATTATCACGGTCCATATCGGTGTCTGAACAGTGAAGGTGAAGATGCATGATTTGTTTGTAGTTCCATGCGTAATCACGCGCACCCCTAATACGCTTTGGTTTACAAAGTACGCTTTGTTCCAGATCGTCCCAAAGTGTATCGACAGCTGTATTTCAGAGATCGCAACCATTGGACAGCTAGAGCCAATGAAAGTACACTAGAGCACAAACTTCATGAACCACTCACTGAAAACTTCCTCTCATTTTTATTTCCAATAGCGTGCAAAGAATGCGCTCCCATTAACCTCTTTGGTGGTAATTTCCACCAATGAGGCAAGGATCTCGAGTCGCACTTTTAATTGGATGAGATGGGGCGCAACACAACAACATTATAAATAAGGTTGATCCTATGCCATGCCGCGTTCGAATGCACCGACCATTCACGTATCACATTGGTTTTCATCCAACCACAAATCTTTACATGCATAGTTTTATGCCATTGACGCCCATTAGAATTCTTCAATTACTGCGACTTCAAACTTATTGGACGATGGTGGTTGTCAACACCATCCACTGCGTACAAGGGAAACAACACGCGAAGCTCAAAGCGCCGAAAAAAATAAAAACGCACCAGCAGTCATCAGGCATCCCTTAATGGGCGTGAATTAACTCAAAACCAGCCAGGTCACCAAAGTATACCGCCGCGGCAGCAGGTTCTAAGTAGCCACATTGTTCCCAAGAGTGGTCCAGACCACTCTTAGGATTTTCTCTGATCCATGCTGTTTTTACGCCCAATTTCGCTTCGTGAATCCACTTACGAGCACTTTTCGGTGACGTAAGCAAATATAGCAACTGCATCACCATCGCTGACATGTTCCCGGGCAGTCACAGCGCGCTTTATTTGCAGCGGCCGATGTGACAACGATGGCCTCTTACGACATTTTTTCGTTTCGTGAATCGACTTACGTAACTAAATTTCTCTTGCGCAAAAATGTTTTCGTAAGTGAGTTTTGTGAATCCGGCCCCAGATGTATAGTACCGTCTACTGTTAAAGGGAACACTCTGATGAGCATCAGTTGTATTGTGGGCTTTATAACTGCAAGCAGACGTAGAAACGTTGTTTGTGCACAGCACTAGCTTATCAAAAAAAGTCATAATGGTCAACCAGCAGTAGTCTCATGCAAATCTAGGTCACTAAGCTTTCGTCAGATTGAAATCCAGACATAGTGCTCATGAAAGTGTTCCCTTTAGCTTTGAACCCATCTTTACATCACCCTGGTGTAGCTGAGGGTGTCCGACTGTAAAACATTTGTTATTGCAGACTTATGGAAGTGTGTTTTAAAATAAGATCTGTGTTTTCACTTTACAAACATGTTTAACTGGCTTCTCTGGCACAAGTTTCTTTATTAGAGCAATGAAACTCTACAGAAATTTAAAAAGGTGGAGGGAGCATTGATTACTGAACGTGAAAGGATTACCCATTAGGGGGAAGCATATTGTAGAGATAATAATACAGATAAAATGCAAATGAATTTTTTATATAAAAAGCACTGCCTTTCACCAACAATTCGCATTTTTCTGGTGATTAACTGAGACAAGTGCTTTTTAGCAGCAGTCACTTTGCCATCTAAGCTATCGAGGTGGCTGGCAGATAGCAGTGGAAGGCAAACTTATACTGCTTCTTGAAGCACGGAAACATAGAATATGGGGAATCAGTTCAGAACTTCATTTCATGGCTGAATTTATATTATTAATGATTTCTAAAATTTTCCTATAATTGTGCTTGTGCTTAATTGGGACATGATGCACAATGCTTCACCCTTTTGAAATTTTCAGACTGCTTTCCAAGTGGCATGTGGTCCTGACAACGTGTGCAATGCTGACTTGGAGCTGAAGGCTAGCATCGGAGGGCACGAGTGAGTCTTGTAATTATGCTAATGGAAGAACGAGGAGTGCTTTATAAGCAAAATAGTCTTCTTCAGTGCTAACAATGCCACTCTTACTTACCATGGGAGGAGAGTAAACCAGAAAAGATATGAATGCAAAAGACTGTTGGTGATCTGACACTAATGCTCCTGCTTCAGTTTGCTTTGACGTTGTTTCTTTCAGCACTGATGGCTTGGGTTCAGTTGATTGGCTGTTAGTGAAGAGAACTTGATATTCTAATGTAGCCTTAGATTGAACTTGGGTAATTCTGGGAACTTTTGCATAGCCACGATTGTCTAGATATGAAAAGGTATTTCGATAAGTCTGACGTCACATCACGTGGATTTACTCGCGGTGTCGTTTAGGTGTAAAGTTTTTAGGTGGACCTTTGACTAACTTTTTTTCTGCAGGAGTTGGTAGCACGAATTCATCACTGTCTTTCTATCAGTAATGCCTCTTGTGTTTGTTATGGTTAGCATGAACTTCTATGTAATAGTATTATTGTCATATTGCTTACAAAGCAAAACCAATCAATGCATATTCAGATATATTCATATTAGGCTCACTTACAAGTACCATCACCTTGTATCCTATTTGGGCCACATTTACAATGATGATATCGCTTAAAATGCAACAGCTTATACTTTGATATAAGGTTCATGATAACAACTAATTAAAACAGCTCTGCACCACAATTTTGTTTGATAGTGGAAGCATTGATGGAAATCTTGTTAGGAAGAATGTTTTTTGGTAATATTCTAGCTTACAAACATGCTAAAGGCTGAAAGGCCATGGTACATATTATGGTGAAACGATGTGCAGCTTCATGTTAGAACAATTTATGTCTATCCAAGGTTGACAGGTTGAGGTCCAACCAAGCTTTATTATTTGGTTGTGTACAAATTTTTCAGAACATTTATTCTTCTCACAGGAACAACTCGCCATTGGTCGTAGGTAAAGACAGCACTGTCTCACTGAATGTTGCCGTGAAAAACCGCGAGGAAGAACCCGCTTATCTTGCTGAAGTTGAAATTAACCTTCCTGAAAATGTGGACATCGTGAACATTGGTAGTTGTGAGAAAAAGAACAGCTCAACTCTGACATGTGACATCGGGAATCCTCTGAAGAGTAATGCGGAGGTAAGAATGTATTGAGTGTCACTAGGCCACATTTCTTATCTTGATATTTTTTACGTTACATGTCTCACTAATATGAAAGCTTTGCTAGACAACATGGAGTGGGATTGCATGGTCTAGTCAGATACAATACAGTGGCAAAAGAGAACCTTCATGAAATTAAGGTGGTCAAGGCTGAGAATGTGGGAAGACTACCGTAAAAACCGGACTATAGGTCGGACCGCAATATAGGACGACCCCCCAAAACTTCGAATCGTAAAAAAAGAAATTTAAAAAAATCGCAAAGTATCGCGGCACACCCTTACCTTGATAAAAACGCAACGCAACTAGCTGCACTGTGGTAACATTCATTTTTATTTAGACACTGTTCAATGCTAGGAGGTCACGAAGTTACTCGGACTCATCCGAACTCGAGTCGGATGATGTTTGTTTTTCACTAGCGATGTCCCAGAGTGCATCGTCCTCTGTGCCGTCTAACGCGTTGCTGATGCAGCATTTGCGGAAGGATTTGCGAACCATCTCTTCCGGGAGGGATTTCCAGGCTGACGACACCCAGCCACAAACGGTTGCGAGCGGTGGACGCCGTAGGCGGCCAGCGGGGGTCTTGGGATTGTCTCCCAGCATCCACTCACTGTAGAGCTCGCGCACGCGACCTTTAAACGGCTTGTTCAGCACAACGTCCAGTGGCTGGAGTATAGATGTCAGTCCCCCGGGGATGACAACAAGATCCGTCTTGCCATCGGACAGCGATCGCTTCACATCGGCCGTGAGGTGACCGCGATAAGAGTCGAGCACCAGCATGCTCGGTCGTTGAAAAAGGGCACCGGGTCGCCGGTTCCACACGAGCCGGATCCATTCAAGCATGAGGGATTCGTTCATGAACCCCTTCTCGCTTGCCCTCACGATCACATCCCGAGGGAAGTCCTCCTTCGGTAGCGTTTTCCTTTTAAAAATAATATAAGGAGGCAGCTTCTTTCCGTCTGCTGTACACGCGAGCATCACGGTAAACCGCGAATGCTCGTTGCCCGTTGTCAATAGCTTCACTTGCTTCGCTGCTTTCTCGGTCACAGTCGTGTTCGATGGCATATCGAACCAGACCGGAGTTTCGTCAGCGTTGCCCATGTGGCCCATCATGTAGCAACGCTGTCGACGAAGCTCGATGACGAAGCGCTGATACTCCACAAGCTTGTGCTCGAACTCTGCGGGTAGTTTTTGGCACACTGAAGTACGCCGCCGCAGAACAAGGCCCTTCCGCTTCATGAATCGGCGCACCCACGATGGCGAGCCCTTGAATTGCGCCCTCGTGAGCCCCGAGTCGCGCGCAATCTCGAGCGCTTTCACGCGGATGCACTCCGTTGTCACGGGTAGCGACCTTGCGCGCAGCTCCCGTACGAACTCGACGAGTGCCGTTTCCAGTTCGGGGTGAACTGCAGTCCGTCCACGAAACGACGTTTTCTTCTGGTTGCTGCAACTTATGATGCGCTGTTTCTGGCTCCTCCAGTATCGGATGCTCTTCTCCGTCGGGCCGAATTCTCGTTGTGCCGCCAGGTTGCCGTGGGCTTCCGCATATTCGATGACTTTTTTCTTGAAGCACATCGTGAACTGACGTCGGCTGCCACTCATATTGAAGGAGATAGCCTCAGATGGGGATAATGAAACAGCGCAAAACCACCGCAGCCACCCTTGCTTCGCAATCGGGACAAACAAAACGCAAAATGGGCGTCGCGGCCGCCCAACGATGCTGTTGCTGATGCTCACGATGGCAATGGAGCCTACCGACTTTTGTCAACCCATTGTTGCAAGACTTCCATAAGTTTTCTGCCAATGACCGGTATATAAGACGGGGGTCGACTTTTCATCGCGTCTCTTTGAAAAAAAATTCGACCTATATTCCGGTTTTTACGGTAAGTAGATATACTTGTGGATGCATGATTTTTAATTAGCTTTTTTTGAGTATGCAAGCTCGTATTTTGTCAGCCACATTAACAATAAACTATGCCTGAAAACTGCAGGCAATAACACACTAAGACAGTAGTAGAGCCGGAAAGAAAACATTGTCGTACGAGAGATGTGGGATTCGGACGCTATTCAAAGAAGACATTAAACAGGGATTCAGCAATAGAAGAGAGATACTATTGGAAACATGATTTTCAGGATTACTTATTTTAATTGAACATGAAGAACTTGCACTTGCTCACGGCTGACATACACTTGTCTAGATGATGAGTCAATGCATAGGGCTACTGTGTGCACTGGGGTAGAATAACGCCACGTGCCATGCCGTTCTGCGCAGCTGCCACTATAGAGCGACAGCCGTCGCGTCATTTAGATAGGCTAGAGCGGACTGCGATTAACTTCCGATGGGCCCATCGTATCAGACAGTGCAGTATCTGATGATAGGTGTGCGCATGTTCTGTGTTGTCTTCTCAGCGCTTAAATAACTGGCAGCGCGTAAGCTGTGGGTTGTTCTTTGGTGGAACGGCAGCTGTGCATGGGCACACCGCTCCGATCCTGTTAGTGTTCCTTTTGTGTCCTAAGCGAGAGGCACAAGTATGCCTCCTTACTAATAAACCTTGCCTGCCGCACCCTCGTCTTCTGTGGATTCCAGTGACGACGACGCACGTGACATCTGGTGGAGGTGCTGGGTATACGTACCCTACTGTTTTTGTCGTCCTGGACCAGTGCTCTCGGAACGTCATTCTCGGTGCGGACTTCCTTTCGGCAAACAAAGCAATCATAGATCTTCGAACGCCAACAATCACCCTGTCACCAGATACGGGCGTCACGCGAAATCCAAGTCCTGCATTATCAGCGGCGCTAATGATTCTCGACGAGCACGCCACATTGCCACCATGCTCGAGTGCTGTCATCCCCGTGGGCGCTGACAGCTGCATCTGCGCGGAAGGTTTGGTCGAGGCCAACCAGAGTTTGCTCTTTGAAAAAGGTTTGGCTATCGCCAGAGGAATCGTTCACATCGCTGAAGGAACCGTCAGTGTACTGATCACTAATTTCTGCTCGAAATATCGTCACCTTGCAAAGGGCACCACTGTGGCACTATTCGAGACCATCTTGGACATAAGCGATGTACTCACGATCGACGACGCACTCCATTCTCGTACACATGACGTGTTCTTTGACGTAAATCCGGCGTTGCCCCTGGAAAGACACGAAAGGCTACGGAAACTGCTCTATAGCTACCAGGATTGTTTCGCCACGTCACCCAAGATCCGCCAGACAACGCTTGTGAAAAATTGCATCATAACTGATGAATGTGCAACCAAGTCACCGATCGCCGTACCGTGTGTCCATGAAAGAGCGCGAGGCAATCCGGAAACAGGTACAAGAAATGCTTCATGACAACATCATTGAGCCTTCCCAAAGCCCGTGGGCTTCCCCTGCAGTGATTGTGAAAAAAACGGGACGGCACTCCAAGATTCTGCGTCGACTATCGCCGACTCAATAAGGTAACGAGAAAGGACGTTTATCCGCTCCCTCGAATTGATGACACCCTCGATCGTCTCTGCAATGCCAGATACTTTTCATCTATGGATCTAAGGACTGGCTACTGGCAGGTGGAAGTTGATGAAAGGGATCGCGAAAAGACGGCGTTTATCACACCAGATGGACTATACCAGTTTAAAGTCATGCCATTTGGACTTTGCATTGCCCCTGCAACTTTCCAAAGGGTAATGGACACCGTATTGGCTGGCCTGAAAAGCAAACTTGTTTGGTGTATTTGGACGACATCATAGTCTTCGCTCCATCTTTCGTGGAACACATCAGCAGGTTAAAAGTGGTACTTGATGCACTTCAGGCTTCAGGACTTACATTAAAGCCCGAAAAATGCCGTTTTGCCTACGAGCAGCTGAAGTTCCTTGGTCACGTCGTCAGTTCTGCCGGCGTTCTACTAGACCCAGAGAAGACAGCTGCAGTTCGAGACTTCCCGCAGCCCCGCGAAAAGAAGAGCCTCCGAAGCTTCCTCGCACTTTGCACGTACTATAGGCGCTTTGTCAAGGACTTCTCGCAGGTCTCCGAGCCCCTGACACATCTAACGAAAGAAGACAGCTCGTTTGTGTGGGAAGCACCCCAAGAAGAAGCGTTTCGGGAGCTCAAAAGACGTCTTCAAGCGCCCCCTATTTTGGCCCACTTTGACGAAAACGCGGCAACAGAAATCCACACCGACGCCAGCAGTGTCGGCCTCGGTGCCATTCTTGTTTAAAGGCGGGACGGACGAGAACATGTCATCGCCTACGCCAGTCGATCTTTGTCTAAAGCAGAGTACAATTATTCCACGACTGAAAAGGAATGCTTGGCAATTATGTGAGCAACTTCCGAATTTTGCCCATATTTGTACGGCAGGCCTTTTACCGTTATTACCGACCACCATGCTTTATGCTGGCTTGCGAACCTAAAGGATCGATCCGGACGTCTCGCAAGGTGGAGCTTGCGGCTCCAGGAGTTCGACATATCGGTAGTGCACAAGAATGGAAAAAAGCATTCCGACGCAGATTGTCTGTCTCGAGCCCCGGTTGAGCAACCACCACCGTGTGCGGACGCCGCCGCCAGTTTTCTGGGCATGATCACCGTTTCCGACTTAGCCGCCCAACAACGGGCCGACCATGAACTGAACCGTCTCATTGAACATCTTGAAGGAAAACGTACGGAGATACCCAAAACTTTCAGGCGTGCTCTTCACACATTCTGCTTAAAAGACGGTGTCCTTGTGAAAAAGAACTTCGACTCTAGGAAGAGCACCTACCTTCTCGTCGTGCCGTCGTCATTGCGTCAGGAAATCTTGCAGGCGTCACATGACGAACCAACCTCCGGGCATCTTGGGTGTACACGAACGCTTTCGCGGATCCGTAAGCGTTACTACTGGCCGCGCATTCTAGAAGACGTCAAGCATTACGTACGTACGTGCCGAGAGTGTCAACGCCGCAAGAGACCGCCAACAAAACCCGCTGGACTACTCCAGTCACTTCAACCCTCAACAAGGCCCTTTGAACAAATCGGAATAGACTTTCTGGGACCCTTCCTGACATCTACCGCAGGAAATAAGTGGATCATTGTGGCGACAGACTACCTGACTCGCTACGCAGAAACCCGCGCCCTCGCTCGAGCCACTGCTGAAGAAGCCACCAGATTCTTCATTCACCAAATTGTCCTGCGCCACGGTGCACCTCAGGTCGTTATCACTGACAGAGGGACAGCCTTCTGTTGCGAACTGATGCAAGCCATTTTGCGGTACAGCCACACCACCCATCCCCGAACTACCGCATACCACCCGCAAACTAACGGTCCCACAGAACGGCTCAACAAGACCCTGGTAGACATGATGTCGATGTACGTCGATGTTGAACATAAAACATGGGATGAATTGCTCCCATATGTCACCTTCGCATATAATACGGCCGCCCAGGAGACAACCGGGCTGACATCATTCGCTCTTGTTTACGGACGGGAAGCAACAATGACTCTGCACGCAATGTTGCCGCATGTAAATGAAGGCGACCCGAACCTGGACGTAGCGATATTTCAACAACGCGCTGAAGAGGCCAGGCAGCTGGCTCGACTGCGAACGGCAACCAAGCAAGCGACGGATGCCCGACACTACAACCTGCGACACCGCCATCAGGAATACACACCCGGCGAACAAGTTTGGCTATGGGCACCAGTTCGCCGACGAGGCCTCAGCAAAAAGCTTCTGAGGCGTTATTTTGGCCCCTACAAAATCGTTCGTCGCGTAGGGCCACTGATCTATGAAATCGTCCCGGATGGTGTGACAAACTCCCAGCGTCGACGTGTGCGGTCTGAAATTGTTCATGTCGTGCGGTTGAAACCCAATTATGCGCGCTAGCAGACGTTATGTGCGCTTGTTCCTCTATCTTTTTTTTTTGTGAAAACTTCAGTGCCTTATGACTTCAGTGCTTGCTTTCAACATCGAGGCGATGTTTTTGAAGGGGGAGCAATGCCACGTGCCATGCCGTTCTGCGCAGCTGCCACTATAGAGCGACAGCCGCGCGTCATTAGGTAGGCTAGAGCGGACTGCGATTAACTTCCGATGGGCCCATCGTATCAGACAGTGCAGTATCTGATGATAGGTGCGCACATGTTCTGTGTTGTCTTCTCAGCGTTTAAATAACTGGCAGCGCGTAAGCTGTGGGTTGTTCTTTGGTGGAACGGCAACTGTGCATGGGCACGCCACTCCGATCCTGTTAGTGTTCCTTTTGTGTCCTAAGCGAGAGGCACAAGTACGCCTCCTTACTAATAAACCTTGTCTGCCGCACCCTCGTCTTCTGTGAATTCCAGTGACGACGGCGCACGTGACAATATTCTTTTGTACAATGAGAGCAAAAGCTGAAGGTTGACATTGCAATAAAGTCTATGGGCTTATCAATACATATATTTACGGTTATGTTCATCGGTCTATTTTCAGACGAAGTTTGCTGTGAAGCTGGGCCTTACAAAGCTTAAGAAGAAACTTGAGGTCAAAGTCTTTGCAAGAACACTCAGTTTGGATGTTGATCGGAGCAATGATCATGTTCTTATTGCTTTGCCACTGATCCACCATGCTGACATAGCACTTCAGGGGTTAGTTTAAACCTTTCTTTGCCCCTCTAAATTTACCACACTATGTATTTTATTAGCAAGTGTATGTACATGAAGTGTCTAAATGAGTCTCTTTGGAGTGTCTAAATGAGTCTGTATGACCACATTTTATCTAATATGCTTCTATACTTTGCTTCATGATGTCATTGATACATTGTGATTATGCGCAGGTCTGCATCTATAAGCCAGCTAATCTACAACACGTCTACAGATCTTGTTCCTGTGGTTCACACTTTTACGGTGAGTAAATGAATATTAATATTCTATTTACAGTGAAACTCATTGTTACCATGTAAAGTGTGATTGATTGTGCAAAAGCTGACTACTCTGGATAGGCATTTGCTGTCTCTGTCCCTTACAAGGTTTATTGAAATTTTGATTAACAGCCCCTTTCTCAGGAACGAATCGAACTTAACAGCTATCTGTTCATTCATGCTTGTTTATACTACAATGGGGTTCCCTTAATTGAAGATATGTTGACTTATTTTTTTTACTGTGTTATCTCAAACTGGTGTCTGATTTACATTCAGAGCTCGATGTAACCAATCTAGATATAACAAAATGTCAGTTATAACAAAGTAAATGAAAAATAGTCTTGTAATAGATATAGTGTTAAGAATATACCTTTATAACAAATTTTTGAATATAACGGACCTGTTTTTGTCTAAGACGCAACTTTCTTATAAAAATGTTTGAGTGTAGTTGCAAAAGTGTCACTGATAAAATTTAACTTTGATTAGCTGTTCACTTTAGGAAACATATATATTTATTCATGTTTGATTTCTTTCCCCTATAGATGGTGAAGTATTACGACAGCCCCATTAACAAAGTTGCTATTACGATATCAGTGCCACGCAAGATTATGGGGCACAGGACTAATTTTCTGAGCCTTTTGAGCGTGATAGTGAGTATTACATGTTTACCTCCTTGTGAAACAACTTTTTGTCTCTATGAGTCTCAACTGTATGTATGATTACGTACTAGCTTTGTTTGCAAAGCAGTGCCTTGTATGGTGATAAGTATCTTACTGTTGCAGCAGTAAAGAATATAGTGGCCGAGTTTTGATATGGAAAGTAAGGGTACTTGGTGTAGTTCTAATACATATCACATTGTAAAGCATCTTGTATTTCCATTTTAGTGTAATTGTGCAAGGTTTTCACGACTTTATTTTAAAAGAACAGAGAAATGTGTTGGTAACATTCATTTTACCATATCTTCGACACATATTGGACTCCAAAAAAAAAGGAAAATGTGGCCTCAAACCACTGCATTTATGTCTATTACTGAAGATCGTTATGGGAGGTTCTCATGCCAAATAATAGCTGATAATGTTATGATGGCAAAAATGTTAGTGTGATTGTTGCATATAGGTTTAAGAGTGCTGTGCATATTTTGCATAAATGGAAGTGAAGCAAAAGGTGTCGGGAAGTTGTACGTAAGTGCAGTTCACTTAGAATGATGTCCAGGTGCCAAGAAAATCTAATCGTAATCGATACTTATCATGAGCCAGCTGACGAAAAAAAAAAGACAAAATAGAGATGAAAGCTTTTAATTAGCTTTCAAGGAAGGTAGTGCCACTAAGTAACTGTTTGCAAAAAAGACATAGTCTGTTGGCTATGATTGCTGCATGCGTAGCTGGCGCATATCTTTCTGAAGAGCATCTATCCGCTCTATGTAGGTCAGTGGGTGGTCCTTTGCGATAAGACTGTCCCAAACGGACTGCATTATCTGCTTGGCCTCCTGTAATGACAGTGCCTGTGTAGGCTGCTCAACCAAGTCGTCACTGTCACCACTATTCATCGCATGGCGCAGTCGGTGAAGATACCTATTCGCAATGTGCACTGTAGCCAGATATATCCGGTATCGTGGCACCAGAGCATCATACTAATAAGCGGTGCATTTTACTATACAAAGCATACAAAAGTGGATGGTGCCATCATTCTTCATCGTTATATCTGATATGTTGTAATAAAGGATATTGGTATAAGTGGACTCAACTGTAGATGTAGTTATGCAGTTGCAGTATTACAACTTACCCATATTCAAAAATGCACCAGTGACATCTTCAAGAAGTTTTCATTACAAATATCACATGAGTCATGACTGTTGAACGTTGGCATTACATTTGATAATACCTGCATACTGAGTTTGGTCTGTGTTTTACTTTTGTGCTAGCCTGACGACGGAAGTCGAACTAAAGTTGGTGGCAGCTGTAACAGCTCAGTGGCCAGCCTACGCAAACGCTCTCCATCAACCATATCTCCATCTGTCATTAGGCAGCGCAGGGAAGCAAGCCCGAACCCTCTTCCACTTCTAGAGGGTCACTTTCCTACGGCCCAAGTCAAATCATTGACGCTGGTGAGCATGTTGTTTTGGATCTATATTTAAAGCAGTCTCATATCTTGAGGTCGTGTGTTGGAGTATTTTAGTAAGCTTAACATATGAAATGTCATATAGATCACCATAGAGAACATTGCATTCAGTAGACATAAGTCTACTGAACCAACAAAGTGGTAATGTGTAATAAACTTGAACGTCATTTTGAGACTGCGTTCATGTATTCACCTAGGTAGCTGCAGTGCCATTAGTAATTATTGGAGTTTTATGTCTCGAAACCACAGTATGATTATGAGACACACTTTATTAGAGGGCTCCAAAAAGTTAAGAAATTTAAATAGTTTGGACCCGACATGATGTTTAAAACTACTTAGGCTAGACCATCATGGGACACGTTAGTTTTATTCAGTGACCGCTCGTTGCGATAGTAATTCTGCTCAGTACGAGAGAAACCGCAGATCCGGACACTTGGTTCACGTGCTTGGTCAAGAGTCCGATGGTTTGAAGCTACCATTAAAAAACCCCACCATGTGGGGTTTTTTGATGGGCACCTTAATAAGCACATGGGCTTCAAGCATTTTGCCTCCCAACTAAATGCGGCCGCTGAATCCAGGAATTGATTTCATGACCTTTAGGGCAGCAGTTGAGCACCATAGCCACTAGACAGCTATAAGGGGTAGCTGCAGTGCCATTAATGGTATTACATTAATGATATAACACCAGTAATGTTTACACATTGTCTTTGCATATTTCAATTATCCAGGGCAACGTAACTTCACTACCTTAGAATAACTATTACAGTCTTTTCGACAGTTGTACTTATTTTATAGTAACAAAACTTGGCACACATATTCTTCAACACGTCCAAAATGCAAATATCTACTTGAAATTGCAATGCCTACCAGCATTAGTTGTAAAAATATTAGGTTAATCTTTCAAGGGAGATTGAAAGTAATTAATCATTTAGTACAATTTTTTTATTGGTTCTAATATTTTTGTGACACATCTGGATAGATATTTGCACTTCAAAATCTACCAAAAGTCAAATAAGATCAGGCACAATGCTTTTACTGCAAGTTAAGCACGTAAAAGAGTACCCGCAAAAAATGTAATTTTTTGCTTTTGTGCATGGCATAACTCAATAACTATAGCAGCTACACAAAAAACGATTGCATATTTTAAATCTCCATGAAAAACTATATTAGTAAAAAAGTTTTCAAGTGTCTCTGTCTAGAAATTAAAAAAAAGTTTTTTCGAGGAGCGTCTCCCTATAAAAATGAAAAAATATGGAAAAGAAAAAAACAAACAAACAATGGAAGTGTTGCGGGAATGCAGAACTGGTCTTAACTTTCATCTTCCATTTTTATGTATACATCATGTGACCATCGTTGGGTGCCGTCTGTCACCAAAAAGTCGCCAGAAACCCCAAAATAACTGCATCTATAAGTGTTGTTGCACTCAGAGCAGTATGTTCAGCTTGCCTCAGAATCCTGTCCCTTCACCTTATTTTTCATAATGTTCATGAAAGGCTTGCTTCTTTACTGAAAATAAGGAAGTTCAACGCAGTCTTCTGTGAAACCGTCAAGCTGTGTGCCAAAGTGGAATGGGTTTTATATCACTAAGGAGATGGAAGAAGCAATGCTAGTGGCTGTTTGCTGTCCGTGGATTGGTAGAAAACAGTGGAATCAGGCGGCTTTGCTCTTTCTTGCAGGACTGCTCAGGTGCCGAGTGCACGACCTTCAACTGCCAGATGGGCCCATTCACTGACAAGAACAAGGTGGCTAAAATCGAGATTAACATGGTGATCAACGTCAGCCGCATCATGGACCAAGTGGTTAGTATTGCTAGGCTGTTTTTTTTTTTTTTTGTTCTCTTCTCGTTGTCTGGCTTGTTTCATAAGTGACAACTCTTTCTGCCATGGTGCTGATCCCTGCTTTAGAGTGCAGCCAAAAAAAGAATACCTGCTTATTCTAGTACAGCACACAGAGCAATGATGTGACTGTAGTTTTTGGACCTCTATCATGTTTGAAAAGAAGAGCACCTTTGAAAAAATACGAGTCAGCAGTGTGGGACTTTACATGCACTAGATGAAAGCACTTGCTTTAAAATGATATCTACTATTAGATGCTTGGTGCAAGCTCCAGAGCTGACTATAAGGAAGGATTATTTTGCAGTATACACATATTACATAGAGTTTTCAGCGAGACTTCAGGACACATTTTTAAAACAGACTACATAAATCAGGGTTATTTATAATTATTCAGTTCATCTTGATGGGACACTGTTACTGTTTTTTTTTGTCTGTTTTTTACTGTGTTACAATTGCTGCATAAGATAGGTTCATTTGGATCTGAAGAGCAGCACTTGTATAGCTTTAGTACCATGCATATTTAACAGATTCTTTTGTTTTCATTTGGCCCACATTATTTTATAAGTGTTACAAACAATGTTGAATTGAAAATTGACTTGTGACTTTATTCTTCTGCAAATTAAGCTGTTCAGACTGGATTTAACTGTTACGATTAAGTTTTTTTTATTTTTTTGTTTGCTCATGCTGTAACAGGGAATACCAGACACCGTAGACATCATCACAGAAGGCTCACTCAAGATCTTGGATGAAACGGAGTTCACACACTACGTCAAGCAGCAACCCAAGCAAGCTACGGTATGCTGAAAATTTACTGTCATCCAATGAAAAAAATTGTGTCAGACATTGAGGACATGTCTTTCCAATGATTATTGCCACATGATTTGTGGACAAGTACAAACTTCTACTTTCAGAGCACCATGTTTGAATGTATACTCCCTTTTAAGAAGAGGTGTTACTTGAAAAAAAAAAAAAAATAAAAGGTTTCTTTAATTTGTAGCCTTGGACAATAAAATTCTTGCTCATTGCTTAGGTTTTTATGCTGATTTCAAATATTACATGTAATCAGTTTTATAGTAACTTACATAGGTTTCATTTTGTACCATGACAGTGTGTAAAATATAGCTCTTTTTGGGCACACTTTTTCCGTCACTAAGCTTTTATGGTTATGTGCCATTTACGGCTCATATATCTCTAAATTTAGTGTAGAATGGAAATAACTAAAACAAGAATATTCTGTATAAGACATTTTAATGAACAAGAAAAATTGTAATGCGAGAAGTCTTAAAAGCGGAGCCATACTAATGGCCATAGGTCGACAAAAACATTAGAGCTCACTCAGACTCACTCAAGAAATATATTCTGCTTCTAGGGCTCTCTCAGATTCAGACTCGCAAAAATTTTACTCGACCTAACTCGCTCAAACTCATCACTAAAAGACTCAACTCGGACTCAAACTCGCCAGCTTATTTCCGAATCTGTGTGTTTATCTCACGGCTTCACCCAAGTCTGAGTGAGCCGACTCACTAGTCCGTTTGTGTAAAATGATCTTTTTCTATCGTGGTGTCAATGCTCTTTAATGCCAATATTCTGCATAGTTAGCTCTTTATGATGCACCTTTTGATCTTGTACCTTCAAATATGCATTATCGGGGCTTTTAATCGAGTAAGGGCCTTTTTTTTTAAAATAAAATATGTGACTCTCACAAAATATTTCTATCAAGAACTTTACAGAAATGATTTGTTGAGGGGAAGATCACGAAATTCTTACGTCACTTGTGCCTCTTATTATAAATATTGATGTGGCGAATGAATACTTGCGTGCGAGATATGTGTGTATAGACTTGGGTATACGTGAACAGAAGTCTATATAAGGTGTATGAATAGTAATGCTGCAGACGAGTAGACTGGACAGCAGGTTGGCAGCAAAAGGTGGATATCACTCGAACTCATGCAAGAAGTTTATCTTGTGCTAAGGACTCACTTGGATTTAGTCGCGCCAATATTTTTCTCGGCTGACTCACTGGGACTCGCTCACTAAAATATTTTTCAGCCGTCTTCACTCGAACTCAAACTGACCCAAATATTACTTACTCGGACTCACTTAGACATTAAACTCACGGCCTCATACGAGCCTGAGTGAGCCGGAATTAGTAGACTTGGGAGTGAGTTTACCGATCTATGCTAATTGCTTACTTTAAGTTCATGATAATTATGTACTTGCATAGGTTTCATTTTGTACCATGACAGTGTGTAAAATATAGCTCTTTTTGGGCACACTTTTTCTGTCACTAAGCTTTTATGGTTATGTGCCATTGATGGCTCATATATCTTTAAATTTAGTGTAGAATGAAAATAACTAAAACAAGAATATTGCGTATAAGACATTTTAATGAACAAGAAAAATTGTAATGCGAGATATTAGGTTTAAGGTAGATGGTTGCACCCTTTACATGTTGTGGAATATGTGGGAAAGTTTTCATCTTCATCTGGCCATCAGAAGTACCAGAAACATGATGTCCCATCTCAGCAAGTTGACCAAAATTGCATTTCATGAAAAATGCATTTTAAGCATAGAAACAGAACCTAATCTATGTGGTAAAAATATGTTTTTTTTTTAAATGATTTCTTCCGTCATGAGAGCTTGGGAAGCATGGTTATTTTGAGCATGTGGCTCTGGTGAACTCCTCATGCGAAATGCAATGACATGCAGCAGGGAGACAATATCCAGGGCACTCTAGACAATGAGCTTTTTCTATGCTTTAACAGCCATGTTGTGCTCTTTAAAAGCGATTTTGACCTATTACAAGTTTTATTACAACACTGATTTTTTTTTTGTCATGAAAGTAGGGAAACTTAACGTGTGAAAACAAATAAAACAAAATAAGCTATTCTGGAAATGAATGCGTGTTTTTCTAGCAGCATCTCTCCCAAAATTAGTTTTTTCTCACTTAATTAGTACTCTGCTGCATTTAAAAAAAATAAAAACTTCCTATAGTGAGATATTCAGTAATGCCACGAAGAGCATGGAGACCGCAAGAGCTTAATTGAAACTCTTAGCGGTCTGCATGCTGTGTCTATTCTCAATTGCGTCTATTCTCAACACTACTTTTCTTATTTGATTAAAAGGTGATGAAGATAACACAACAGCATTTTACTAATGACTATACTGGCTGGCACACTAGAGTGTAAGTTGTTTTCTGAGCTGAGGCTATCTGCACACTAGAGTATAAGTTGTAATTTGTGAGCGGAGGCTATATGGCTATAACATCATGCAGATGTAATGATAAAGGACCTAGTCTTTATGTACCCTTTGTCATACCTTACTGCTTATGGATAAGCAGCCAACTGCTCATGGATTTTTTTTGTTTTCTAATTATTGTTTGCACAGATTGTCACCTCGCTCAACAAAGAAGGCCCACCTGCAACGCCTTCCTTGGCATGGTGGATCTATCTTCTCATAGTTCTCGGAGGCTTGCTTGTGCTCTTGGTCATCATTCTTGTTCTCTACAAGGTCAGTAAATTTCATTTTCATCTTTTGCGTGGACTCTCAGTAAATGGAAATCTGTTTAACGAAACTGTTTCCTAAATGAAAGAAGTGCTTCTGACAAGATTGGTTTTGTTCTTGCATTGCGCACCCTTGTTCATCTCTCAGTGAACGGAACTCCTAATAAATGGAACACATTTTAGTAGCCCATTCAGGTTCCGTTTAATGACAGTCTACTGTGTATGTAAGGTGTTTAGAAAGTTACATCGATTTTGATGTTCATGTAACTTGTCAAATGTTTCAGTGATAAAAGCCAAGTTCACAATGTTGTAAAATGCTTTCTCGTGTCACTACTACAGCATCGACTGCACGCGGCTTTAAAAGACAGTGTACGAGTGCGCATGTTTGGAGACCTAGCCAGATAACTTTCTTGTGTTAAAATAGAGTAGAAAACATGGTCAAAATAAAGAGATTTCTTTTGGCATGACAACCTATACACCGGGTGGCCGTGCAGTTGCCCGCTGCATGAAAATGAAACTGTGCCGCTTGCTGTCACAAAGGGAAGTAGGTGATGTAACATGCAGTATTGCCAAGAGCCTGGAAAAACTTAATATTTTGCAGTTTTTCGGGTAACGCTGATGACTTATAGTATACCAATTTAGTGGTGCTCAAGCAATATTCAGTAAACACGTTTTGCAAAACTTGTTGATCGAGTATGAAACCAGAACCATTGCAGTGTTAGCAATAACCAATCGCCAGTGCCAGATGTAGTGACGCGTTGCCATAACAAAATAGCGATAGAATGCATTCAGTTTAATCTCACTACAATAAACCTTCACAGTACAGGGGATTTTGGTCTGTTGTTGAGGATGCACTTAAAATCCAAGTATTGTTACAAGAGACTTTTATGTGAACATTCCACTTCTTTTCCTTCATTCATAGTGAAGGTCTTGTTCTGGCAGACTAGACACGTTCAGGTAATATGCCAGGGATTAGTAGTCTGCTGCTAGCTCGTAATAAGACCATGCACCACGTGATGCGAACAGGCAGAAAAAGTGTGTTCTACAATCACTGTAATGGTAATTGGCGGTGTTGGCAGACACTTCATCGTTGAATTCACATATGTACCTTATAAAGTGGACAGAGGGATGACCATTGCTGTAGCTCAGTTAGTAGAGTGTCAGACGCATTATTTGAAGGTCACGAGTTCGGTCCCTGCTAGTGGCAAGTTACCTTTTCGTCCACTGTTCTTTGTTCACATTTACATTACAATTGCCACTAACAACATCCACGATACTTTTCTTGGCATCATTGTCCATTAATTATTATTAAAATATTATGCCTAGCAAAAAAAACAAGCCCTTAATTTTTTACTTACCGTATTTACTCGCATAATCCTCACACTTTTTTGCCGAAAAACTTATGCAAAGTGGGGGGGTGCAAGAATTATGCGGGGAAAGCTTTCCACGAAAACGTACTGAGCGAAAAAGAAAACGAAGTGGCCGCAAATCGGGATTCTCACACCAGCAACTTACAGCAAGCTTTAAGAAGTTTTAATTAGAACTTACCTAAACAATAAAAGCAGAGGTTCAACACAAGGCAAGATTTATTTAAGACAGAAAAAGTGCAAGCAAATAGTCGAGAATTAGAATACCATGCGCAAAGCTTGGGGGGGTTGCGGGCATGGCGGTAGCATTTGTCGCTCAACAGGAGTCCTCAAAAGGTAAGCGTAGGACGTCAGTATTGGGCTGATGGCTATTTAACAGAATCGTCCTGCAGTTTCCTTCTGAATAAATAAAGTTTACCATCAATCCCAGTTTTAGGAACACGGCAGGCCCAATGCGTCTTGGTGGCTTTCAGCTGCCGTCACCAGTAGCGAACACAAAACTCGTAGACTCCGAAGGGCCTACCGGCGGCCTTGTTGCCGTCGTTTAGTGCATGATCTATCACTTGCAACTTGAAGCAGCCGTGTAGCTTCAGTATCACACCATAATGTGCCAAGATTACCGACACAGCATACAAAACACGCCGCAACGCGCACTAGCCACTTTGGCTTGACTTGGATTGGATTGAATCTGCTCGCAATAGTGTGCTTGATGCTTAAGAGATGGCACTAGATGGCACGCAGCTATCATCATCAGTAGGCTGGAACGAGCAGACGACATTATTGCGGCAGTTTTCGGGGGTGTGATAATTACTCGAGGAAAAAAAGAAATCGCATTTTTCTTGGGCGATGTGGGAGGTGCGAGAATTATGCGAGTGCGAGGATTATGCGAGTAAATATGGTATTTCTCTTCATACGTGACCTTATGAACTTACCAAACGTAGGACTGTATGTATATGTAATGTATTAGTTTAATTCACAATATTAAAATCCTAACGACCAAGTAGAAAGTGTAGCTGTTGCCATACTATGGTGACAACTTACTCATTTAAGTTTTACAGTAATAAAAAAAATTCACCGCCATATCCTCAAGTGAGTGATGTTAGAGGAGATTGCTCGGAGATGCAGGGGTGTTTATTGGCGAGACCAGTTCTGTAGGAAGGCTTGTCAACAAGCCATCGCATGATTTGTTTGTTGAAGGCAGCATTGCATGGCGCGTTCTGAGGCCGGCCCTGCACAGTGTTGGCCACGTCGATTGGCATGTTAACCACCAGACCCTTTACGCCATACTGGCCGTTGTGAAGGGTCAAATGCCCAACACTCACAAAGGGCGGACGTAGAATTATCAGGCATCCTTTAATGGGGCTGATAGCAGGCAGGTGAGAGGGCTTCGGAGGATATTGGTACTCATCTTAACACTTATCATAGGAACTTGTCACGGGCTACTGTGCCTACAAAGCGATGAGAACGACATGAACGTAGTCGGGACAAGGTGAGCGCACAGGCCATTGAAAACAGACAGCCTTGGGGTGTGGCGGCACGCCATCTAGTGAGCACTATTGGAGTCACTGGAGAGGCGACTGGAGTTGCGACCTAAGAAGTTTACACTTGGAACACTGGTGTACACGCCAGCAGCCGTCGGACACAGGCGTGAGCATAAGAAGCCTGCCGAGCAAGCTCCTAAAGAAAACCAGGCCCTGTGCAAAAAGTGCAATACAGTCACAGCAAAAGCTGGAAGAGCAGCATTTTCTGGGCTTGGAAAATCACTTAGAGCTACTTATACAAGTACACTGCAAGGTACCCACTTCGCCATGAATCATAATTTTCGTCAAGTTGGGAAGCAATCCACTATACCATTATCGGTCATTCTGAAGAGCAGCGAATTACCGCTACACATCTGCAGGACATTATACACATGTGCTCTTTGTAAACTTGACTCCGCTGTTTGAAGTCTGTGTGATGAAAATCATTATGGCCACTATGGATTGTTACTAGTAGCATCGCCCTGATTTTATCTTCTATGCATGCAACTTTCTCTGTAGTGTGGATTCTTCAAGAGACAAGCCAAGGAAGATTTGGAGCGCTCCAAACGGGAGTCTTTGGCAGCTAGCAGCGCACCACATTCGCCTACAACGGAGGCTCTGCCCACCATACCCTCAGACGACCCAGAAGTCAGAAGGAGTCTTCTCAGCTCTGAGAACCCCTGAGGCGAACCCTGTGAGGTGTTGGCCAATCCTAAGCATGCTCAAGCATAGCATCTGCGCTAGTCACGTTGTCGTCGTGTTGCCTGGAGCTCTTCACTTTTGATATCTTGCTTTGTTATCTGCCTTGAAAGGCACTGTTCTGGGCTTTGCAGTGACAGATTGCCCTTGGCACATTGTACAGGCCTGTTATAGGTACTTGGACAAAGCTGACAATATGCGTGAAATTTGGGTGATTGGAATCTACAGCAATAGAATACTTCTAACATTCCAGTTCCTTGTACGTGGTTATCTTGAGGAATAGTTCTGTTGGTTGTGAAAGGCTTAAGATGGTGAAAAATTAGTTGCCTAGAAGTGTAGGGTCAACACAACGAGCTATGTTTCGAGCTTTTAACTAAGAACTATTCTTAGCTGTGAATGTTGGTGTTATGCGAGTGTGCACATGCTATTTTGGTTGTAAGGTAACAACAGTGGAGTGCTCCAGAGTACTAGAACCACTGCCGAGTCCTCCTGCTGTCACTACTTTACAGAGACCATTTCCTGAATGTAGCATATGTGGAGGCTCTTTGATATATTGAGTGGCAAGGTAATAGGGGCAGCCAAATATTGTCAGGGTGGCTCAGGGCATTTTAGTATTTTATTGAACAATTTAGAGTTAAGTCTACATGTGTCTTGGCATACATATTATAAGACCTTTATGAAGAGGTAGACATTCAAACAAGAGCATATGTGCACTGCTGGTCTGTGCATACTTTTCAACACTTGCTTGTAGAATAGTTGAACAAACATTTGTGTGCTGGTTGATGCCCTAAATCTGCTTCTGTGTAGCTCTGCCATCCACTCATAGCTGCTACAGTTGCTTATGTGATGACTCCTTTGTTAGATGAACATGGATGCAACAAAGTACCTTGTGCACGTAGCCACTCATGGTCACAGATACCTCTCAAGACGTGGTTTACGTAGTACATTGTATACCTTTGTTTTGCAAGAATTGTACCTTAGTAGTATTCCCACTTTTTGTTCTATTGGAAGGACGGTTGTATGTTGTTTTCAGGTGATTTTGTTCTTTAGTGGGGACATGATCATTTCGTTTCGACGAAAGCTAATTCACTAGGTTGACTTGCCATGCGTAGTGTACATAATATATGGACACGTAAGTGCCAAGTCTGGTGTTATGTGGTCTAGCAACAGCGCATCTGAGGTTTCTGACCAGCTTTGGCTTAAGTGCAGGCACATCTGTGTTCCATCATAGATTAGCATAGTTTTCCTCATGTGGGTATCGCTTCAGCATAGCATAGTTTCCTCATGTGGGTATCGCTTCAGCAGTTTCTTCTATAATCAAGTCTATCACTGCCACAGTGCTCTGGTGCATTGTCATTATGTAAAGCTACGGCTAATTACTTGGATAAGGTTGTGTATGGTTGTATAGGTGGCCTGTCAGTGATGTGATGATATCCTGTGATCTCTACTTAAATAGCTGATGCCATGTTTGTGCCTTATGGAAAGTGTCTTGATGAGCACCTGTGCTGATACAGGCTGTCTGTATTTGGGATATTGGCTGGCATATTTTTTTAACAGTTCCATTATACAAATTACCAAGTTGATTTATCTTGTTTTTTGCTGGCCTGCTGTTGTGTATGTGCATGCAGGGATGTTAACTTTAGGAATGCTTCTTGCAAGAAATTACTGAAATGAAAAGAAATCATGTTTTTTAAAAGAAACATGTTATTCCTGCCCAGATTTTTATCATTGTGTTCTTTTTATTTCCTTCAACCTGCAGAATAGCTTCATGCACAGTGAACTGCACGTTTTGGCTAATATGGTACAGAATATTTTTGTCACAAAACTTGGGAGGCTGTTTCTTAAAAACACTATGTTAATGTAGCACGCATTACTTGAAATTGCTGTATTTTTGTGTCCATCCATCTTTTCTGTGAGATAAGTTCCTTAAGCAGGGTGCCATGCTGCTGGCATTTGATGAAACTTTTTATGAATACTTCTTTCTTTTTTTATTAATTCTTGTTAATTCTAAGAATAAGCGGATGAAAATATGTATAGAATGTTTTAGAAGATTTTGTAAGTAATGTGACAAAAGGAAAGAAATCCAATGGGGGACTAACAAAACCACAGCCATGTTGGTGCACTCCAGACATTTCAAGAAATGGGCTTGATTTAAAAAAAAAGACTTAGTGACATCTCATTTAGGGTTACTCAAGGTTAAGTGTTAGTTACCATTGCAATGGTAGAATTAAAGAACATAATCAATAAAAGAAAGCACGACTTACATAATAAATGTGCTATGTACAACCTGATGAGCTTAACAGTGCCACTTCTTACCAAAAAATTGCATCTGTTTAGGTCAGCATAAGCCTTTCTCTTAATGTGACTTAGCTGCCGTACTCAAGGTAGCTTCATTACTAATCAACTATTAGTACAGTTGGTATAAAAAGTTTATGGACTGTGAAACCTGGGGAAGCACTGCACGCCTGAGTAGTTTGTAACTGTAGCCTGTTGTTCACACACACACACACACACACACACACACACACACACGCACGCACCACGCGTGCACACACACACACATGCACACACACACACAAAAAAAACAGGTTAGAAATCAAGTAGCAGGCTGTAAATATAGGCTATAAATATGCAACAATTTCTTATATCTCACATTCCATAAACATTTTAAATCAGCTGTGGAGGTGTGAAAAGTTAGCTGTAATCAAGGCACCACTACAGAAGGCAACATGCCAAATCAATTTCTGGGATATCGTGTAAAAGCTTGAGCATTCCCACATATGATCATAAAAAAGTATTAAGCATGGAATGTATACGGTCGACTAGTTTTCCCACAAAGGATTCTGCATTTTATATGTAAATCTCGGGCATCTGAATCCAGTCCATCAGTTTTCATATATGAGTGAAATGAGATCAGAAGCAAAAGAAGTCAAGGCATTGTGTCGAGATATGCGATTTTCATATAATATCGAGTATTGGATGCCCTGTCAATTGTCATCTGAATTAAGTCTAGGATAACAAATGCCTTTTTTTTTCCTTTGAGCAACCTTATCATTAGTGCTCATTTATCAGAGGCTCCATTTCTGCAGCTACAGTATTCACTACAGAGCTAGTAATTAACAGCTACTTGTGTTGATTTCACTTTATCATCACATGAAACTGTGCTCTGCATCTGGCAGAAGCATTGACATGGCTGTGTTTGTATGTGGCTTCCTGTCATGTTTTGGTTTTTTTTTAAATACTAATTGCAATATTTGAACAGCTGCACACTTTTAGTACTCAACATTATCTGGTTTGGTCCTGGGCAAATTGTAGTTCTGTAAAAAAACAACTGTGGTATCTGTATTTGCTTTTATAATATTTTTATGGTTTCCGTGAGGTTTTGAGACGGATGAGCAAGTTTTGTCCTGCATTCTTCACTTTCAGGGATCAACTTACATAGCTTAGGAGATATTGGAGGCGCACATTATATCTTCTCCTTGTTTTATAGCTCCTGTAGAAGTAGAGGTATTGCTGTCTGCATTTTGTGATTGTTGTTTATTGTTTCTTTAAATTCTTGGCTAACTGTCTAGCGTATCAGTGAACTATTCCTGTTATTCAGTAATTGTGCATATATACAAATCCATGCATGTAGCCATTACGCTGCTGAGTTGTAATTTGGAATTTCTAGGTCATGCTATCTGGGGGACAAGTGTACAGGGTGATCAATCATGCTATTTATGATGATTCATGTGATTTGCAGAGAGTTTCTTGTGTTCATTGCTCATCATCTATCGATTACATTTTCATTACATGGAAACTACCGCCTTAAGAGCACTGTAATATGCTTCTGAAATTCACCATCATGCGTAGATATCATGTAGCAAAGTTCAACACAAAAATATTACTGTTAGGTCTTTCTACAGCTCTGTTATATTCGCTCATCTATTTTGTAGGAGTATTACAGAGCTAGAATAAAGTCTACTGTTTTATTAAGAATCTTTGTGGTGTTTCTTTTGACTGCACCTTGTTAATAAATTAATTTTGTTTTTGGGCATGTGTTCACTAAAGTCAGCATACTTCACTGCTGTCGGCCCTTAAGTTGTACAAAATCTGGTTTGTCGGTCAGTATCGTGTGAGATAACCTAGTGGCTGTCATGATTGAGCAGGAAGAGATACAGAGCTCAAGTTTGAAAAAAATTGAATTAAAGGTGTCAGCACAATGACTGCGGTATTTCTAAGTCGTGAGAAGCACCTAAATGACGAAAATTAAAGGTCTAAGTGGAGAAATGGGAGCCCAGATGAAAAGGAGAATGATGCTGAAGCCGTGACACCAATTCTGAATGAGTTGAAGAATTTTGCTGGCATAAAACGGTGAAGGAAAACAACTCAAGTTGAATGGATTGTCGCAGCAAACTACCTCGTTCATATATTCCAATTTAGTAGAATTTTCCGATGCCAACGTTCGCGATCGGGAACACAAAGAAATGACCTATTGCTGTTACGCTCCTTTTTCACCTGTATTTACTTTCCTCAAAAACATGACAATTCGTCAACAATCAGCATCTTATCGCCAAACTACAATCCTGTAATATTCTTGCTGACCGCAAGATCTCATGTGTAACAACGAAGCGCACGGAATTGAGAGCAGTGACTGCCCTCAAGTATGACTGCCCTCAAGCACTGCGCTGACAGTGGTAGAGATCTCTTCCAATCGTACTGGAGCACGCTGGAAGCTGCTTGCACAGTACTTCTAAAACAAGCAAAACAAGCATCTGATTTACCTCGTTTCTGTGTCGTCTCCTTTGCAAAGCGTCAGTCAATGCCATTCTGTGAGCACTTGAAGGCACGTCATATGATGCGGGCTTTGGCTGACACGCAGTTGGAAGTGATAGAGGTAAGATTCTGTAGACACATCATGTCATATTCGATAAGTATAGTTGTCCCAGCTGTGTTGGGGACATGATGTCAGCTGTGATACCACGGAATATACCGAAACACCACTCTAGTTGTGGCAAAGGTGAATAATGCTAAAACTGAGCAATAGTCCGAGTCACTTTGTGTAAGTTCGAACGGTGTGCTTGATTAACATTGTGTTTTAATAATGATGATCTTAACAATAATTGTAAAGGCTTTGTTCATGTTATAAATTCTACAAGCAAATGGAAATATGCAGCAAACTAAATTGAGTGATGATTGTGTGTTCGCCATTAGGCGTTCCTTGTGACGGTTTTATAATAAAAGAAATAGCGCAATGATATTCAATGGTGCATATGAGGAAAACCTACGGCAAGTGTGCTTGTAAAATGAAGTACCGAATATGCGCATATTTGTGTCAAGATCAAGGTTATTACATGAGGTCGCAGTGTTATTGTTTCATGGCCTATTGTATTAAAGTTATTCCCTTCTCCTGTTCAAAATACTTATGTTTGAAGTATTATGACATGTTTGTTGCTGTTGTCGTTATCCTTGTACCCTTGTGCCATTGGAGGGTCGTTTATTTGCATGAGCTCCGCAACGAGCGATTCTGTGACAGAAAAGGAAGATGTTTATAATGAGCCTAACTCTGGGTACTCATCACATGGATAACACACGACCCCGATTTGAAGCATTCTATTTAGCAATGGCTTGGGCATTTGAAACTTCATTACAAAATGTTCACGAGGAACAGGGTGCTGGAGGTAGTTATGCTGTGCATCCCTGGGCCTTTAGTCCAGTGGGCAAGGCCCTCACTTTTAGAGCGTGAGCCAGTTGTTTCAAAACTCAAAAATGCAGCCTACAAGTTTATTTTGTTTTCTATATATGTTTCTTCAGTGCGATTTGTATTACATGGCAGAGAGATGTATAGATGGACAGACAACTTTAATCATCGACTCTGCTACTATGCCATTCACGTATATAGAATTTCCGCTCACAGTCTCCTTTTCAAGTAGTGTGAGTAAATCAAGTCATCAATCAGTCTTTCTTAGTCAAGTAAGAAGACGGGTAATACATTGCAGGTAAATATGCAGATGTCGCAAGGCTACAAATTGCAGGCTGGAGGTGATTAATTAGCGTAGTATTTATGGTCAGAAACTCTGTGATAGCGGCTCAACTTCAGTGTGACGTCACACCGCAGAAGCTTCCCCTGATGCTTTGGCTTTCCCGCAATGCATGTCGAAAAGCAGTCGAAAAAGTCGGGGTTTTTAATCACCCCTAATAAGGCTCAAGTTTTGTCTGACGTTACAACACAGTATATCCTTCTTGTAAAGAAGGATATACTGTGTTTTCATATTGGAGCATCCCGAGCTTAATTTTTTCTTGATGCCTTTGCTTTCCCGCAATGCACGTCGAAAAGCAGTCGAAAAAGTTGCGGCTCTTATCGCTCCTGATAAAGCTCAAATTTTGTCTGACGTCACAACTTGCGACACATTTTTCGGCTGCCTTTTCACATACATTGTGGGAAAGCCAACGCATCAGGGGGAGCTTCAGCTCCAGAGACTCCAATGTAAAGGTACACTACATCCTCCGTTGCACGGTGTGACGTCAGACAAAACGAGCCTTATCAGGGGTGCTAAGGGCCTCAACTTTTTCGGCTGCTTTTTTTGACATTCAATGCGGGAAAGCCAACGCATCAGGGGAAACTTCAGCTCGAGAGACTCCAATATAAACGTACAGTATATGCTCGGTGTGACGTCAGACAAAAGTTGAACCTTATCAGGGGTGATAAGGGCCTCAACTTTTTCGGCTGCTATTTGACATGTATTGGGGGAAAGCCAACGCACCAGAAAAAGCTTCAGCTCGGAATACTATTATATATACGTGCAGTATAACCTTCGTTGCGCAGTGACGTCAGACAAAAGTTGAGCCTTATCAGGGGTGATAAAGGCCTCAACTTTTTCGGCTGCTTTTTTTTGCATGCATTGCGGGAAAGCCCACGCATCAGGGAAGCTTCAGCTCGGGAGACTATATAAACGTACAATACATCCTCCATTGCACGGTGTGACGTCAGACGAAAGTTGAGCCTTATCAGGGGTGATAAGGGCCTCAAATTTTTTTACTGCTTTTTGCCATGCATTGCGGGAAATACAACGCATCAGGGGAAGCTTCAGTTCGGGCGACTCTAATATAAACGTACAGTATATCCTTCATTGCACGGTGTGACGTCAGACAAGAGAGCCTTATCGGGTAGGTGTTCTGTGGCCTTATCAGGGGTGGTGAGAGCCTCGAGTTTGTCGGCTGCTTTTCTGACATGCATTGCGAAAAAGCCATCACATCAGGGGAAGCTTCAGCTCGGGAGACTAATATAAACGTACAGTATAACCTTCGCTGCACAGTGTGACGTCAGACAAAAGTTGAGCCTTATCAGGGGTGATAAGGGCCTCAACTTTTTCGGCTGCTTTTTTCACGTGCATTGTGGGAAAGCCAACGCATCAGAGGAAGCTTTAGCTCGGGAGAGACAAATGTAAACGTACACTACATTTTTCGTTGCACGGTGTGACGTCAGACAAACGTTGAGCCTTATCAGGGGTGACAAGGGCCTCAACTTTTTCGAGTGCTTTTCGACATACATTGCGAGAAAGCCAGCGCATCAGGGGAAGCTTGAGCTCGGGAGAAAGAAAGGAACAAGCGGAAGGACAAGGAGGTAAGCCAGTCATTAAACCGGCTGGCAGCCCTGTGCTGGGGAAGAGGGCAAGAGAAGCAGGCTCACCAAATCAAAAACAAAAAAAAAGGAGGAATGGAGATTGTTTTCTTTATCAAAGTAAGTACCGTCTAAGTGCGCTTATTATCACACATATTCGTTATTCTGAGGGCATTCAAGTAAGGTTTGTCGCGCCACTACGTAGTTGTCCGTCTACAGCATGAGAAACCAGCACAACTTGGACATCATTTCGAAATGAGAATATGTATATTAAATCGAATACTATGGGGTTTAAAAATGTAATAAAACTCCTGTTAAGAAATAGTAAATTAAAGATACGTAAGTGGGGTCGGCTTTCGCACGTGGGGCGTGGCGGTTCAAAGGCGAGTGTTTTGACCACTCGGCTAAGCATCAACACTGGCCGAGTGTCAATGTATTTTAACCATATTATTACTCTATACCAGAGATATAAAAAAATAATAGGGAACACTTTCTGTCAAAGCATTGGTGAAGTTTTTCGTAATGTGGGGATAAAAACCCCTTCCAGGAACATTAGCATTCGAAGACACTAAGAAAATTCCGGCTTTGCGAAATTTATTTTATTGCGATAGCAGTCATATGGACACTCTCAGCCGAATTTTGCCACCGGCGTCGCCCGAATTCACCGTATATGTATACGTGTCTATATATATGAGAACGCAAGAAAAAAAAATAATTCAGAGAAAGACTCCAGCGGGCGGAATCGAACGTCTGAGCTCTGATTTGTGAGTGGGAGGCGTTCGCCACTAAACCACGAAGAAGCACCTCCTTTAGCGTCGAAACGGCAAGCTATTTATATTGTCACAATGCAGAAACACCAGCAGTCGAATCCAGGAAACTCACTTTAATTGTACCAGAACGCTGGCAAACTGATCGGAAGAGAACCTCGTCTTCTTCTCTCGCTGCGCGTGTTCTTCGTTGTTCTCTTGGCGCCGCTTATTCAATGTGGCATTTGCCCCCCTCCAGAGAGCAGCGTCCCGATGCTCTTCTACAAAAGACGGTGGAGTAGATGCATGGTGTAAATCAGTCTGAAAAGTAGGGCTTCATTCGCACAACGTGCACAATTTCTGGTTTTTGCTGGCGAGTTGTCGAGGGGCTGTCAGGAACGACCACGTAATTAACGTCGCTCAGGCGTTGTAAAACTGTGTAGGGGCCAAAATACTTCTTCAGCAATTTTTCGGACAGTCCCCGGCGGCGGATAGGACTCCATACCCAGACTTTGTCGCCGGCCCGATAGACGACATGTCGGTGTCGCAGATTATAACGTTGGGCGTCGTAATTTTGCTGCTGGGTGATTCGGACGCGCGCAAGCTGCCTCGCTTCTTCTGCTCGTTGGGTAA